CTATTTTGGCTAAAGCATAAAGCTGTGAAGCAGAAGTCTGAGTGTGAGAGTGTGTGAGTATGCGTGTGTGTGTGTGTGTGTGTGTGTGTGTGTGTGCATAGTGGGAAGCCTGGACAGTCAGGCCTCTCCCCCGCCCACCTTATAACAGTATGGGGAGTAATTCTACTCATGATGACCACTCAGATACCACAATGCTTTCACCTTGGAGAGTTTAATCCCCCATATTTAACCAGAAGTTGGTCCATGCTATTTCAAGAAGGTATAGTGAAACTTCCGGTTAAATGTGAAGAATTAAAGATAATTATATATACATACACTTCATCTTATGTATGACCAAAGTGATTACATGTTTAACTTATTTTAAAATATAACAGTGTAAAAATAATGAAATAGCAATTTCAAATCTTCACAGCAACAAATACCTGGGGGTATCCACTATCTTTCATTTCTTTTATTTGTGTGTCACTTCGATCTTTCTCAGTAACCTCTCTCTGTTGCTGCTCCCAGATTTACCCACAAGCAGTCTTACATGTCACCATGAACAAGCCATCCATGTATAAATAAAATTTTTTCTTTTAAAAACCCACTCAGGCTCTCTTTGGATGTGCAATATTGGTGTGCCATCAAATTATAACACTGAAGTTATATAATAAATAAAACTAATGAAAACATATGCTATATATAAAACCAGGCATTCTTTTTACAGCCTGACCAGAATAAATCCTAAGAACTCTTGAGCTGAATTATCTTTTCTTTACTTTTCAACTCACATATTTTATTCTTATCTTTCCATCTATTCAAAGTAATTTAGTATGCCCATCAACTTTTTTCTAAAATTGTTCTATCTTAAAAACCCCCTTCCCCAGCATATCTCATCCACTATCCAGAAACCAGAAATAATATTTGGTCCCTAGGAAGCAGACATTGTTTTAAAATAGTTTTACATGATAGAGACAATCTACTTTCAAACAGAATCCCTGTTATCAATGTGGTAAGATGAAAAAGGATGTCATATTCTATCTAAAAGAATTTGCAAGGTTTGATTTAATTAACCTCAGTGATGACTGTGGAGTTGTGTGTGTGAGGGGGTCACTACTCTTTTTAAATTTGAAGGTATCAAATATTATTTTTAATTAAAATTCAAAAAGAGAACTTTTTTAAACAGTTGTATATTACATTCAGAAAAATTTATGGAACATGAATAAGTACACATGTTCAGGTGTTATGGACTGCCATAAATTACATGAGGATACTATCTTTAAGAAGCTAATGCAACATAGTCTACGTTTTATGTGAGAGTTAGTCAAAATTTCATGAATATTAAAATTATTATTCACATTCTATCAACATACACCTTTATTTGCACAATGGAAAACTTTTAGTCATTCAAAATACTGTTTTATTTGTTTTGCTACACTCTACAAGCTATGCCTTATTACTCTCTCGCTAATATTTACAAATTGTTTTAGCTTCATGCTAAAGTGAACAGTGCATCACTCCTCAAGATTTTCCAGGATATTATAGATAAAATATATATAATTTTTTCTTCCTCATACTGTTAACCATCTCTTTATCCTACTTAGGGATTAGATTATCTAAATACAGCTTTCACTGTAGACCTCAATTCTGGAATCTTTGTATAATTAAAAAAAAACACTTTTGTATTATATATTGAACCAAGTAAGAAGTAAGTTCAGTATTTTGGAGCAAAAAGTCAGAATAACAAGGTTCACATTCTTGCTATTCATTCATTCATTCACTTTTTCACTTAATAAGTGTTAAAATGCCAGATACTGTGGTAGTTGATAATCATAGAATGATCAATAAAGAATTGATATTGAATTAAAGGACTTTTTCCATTTAATGGAACAATGACATTTAAAAAATTCTCTTACCCTGGAAAAGTTATTTGGTACTTCGTTTCATAGACAGTTGACCTTTCAACAATGCAGGGATTAGGAATGTCAATACCCATTCAGTCGAAAGTGGTATATAACTTTTGACTTCCCAAAAACTTGACTAGTAATAGCCTACTGTTCACCAGAACCCTATTGATATAAACAATCAACACATATTTTATATAATGTGGTATTATATACTGTATTCTTACAATAAAATAGAGAAAAATAAATATTTTTCCAACTATTGCAAATCTCCATAAAATTTTCCAATATATTTACTGAAAAAATCCATATATAGGTGGACCTGTGCAGTTCAAATCCATGTTATTCAAGGGCCAACTGTAATGTACTATAAAGATGGCTGCACCTGCCTTCCTCATAGTCTACATTTTACTTCTTCCTCACGAGATGTTGGGTCAACTGAGGTGACAGACGTGGATTTAACTCTATAAACTTAATGTAAGGCACACTTTTCATTTTCATATGAAGTAAGTTTTATAAAGTAGCTTTCTCAGTTCAGGGCACATAGTAGGTTCTCACTAAAATTTCCTCTTCTCTTCCTTCTTTTCTAAGATAGCAGTATAAGAGGTAAATTAAACTCATGCACATGGAATGAAAAAAAGCTAAATCCAGTCCTGATACACCACAGATTAGCTGTGTGATACTGAAGAGATATATTAAACTCCTTCAATTTTGATACACCTATAAAGTTGCTGTAAGGCCTATGAGAGTAAGATGAAGTTCTTAATCTAGCCCCAAGAACACAGTGAGCACTCAAGAAAATATTAGTTATTATACCTATCTAACTTATATCAAGAAATATTAGCTATTATGTCTAATGAATTCTATGGTTAGAATTCTAAATAAAGAATATTAGACCAAGAGTTAAAAGATTTGTCCTGACTTCGTCACTTACTGATTAGGTAATGTCGATTATATTATTTTTAACTTTTAATGTTATTTATATTTAATATGAAGAGTTAAATATCCCTGATTCTATAAAATGGGATTTATTATATCTGAAAGGGCTGCTGTAAAGTCTAAATGAGTAAGCAGCATGACAATTATTAAAGCATGTTATGAATATCAATTGGAAGACAGCTATGAATATAATTAAGAAATTATTAAGTAGCATTACCTTTTACTTTCACTCGCATTTTGTTTTGTTAGATAATTGAAAACACTCAGAAGAATCAACTTTTAAAGAAGCTAAAGTGAACTCAGACAAAAATTTGTAAAATTTAAAAAAACCATCAACTTCTCTTTAAATGGCATATTGAAGGCAAAGAAGAGAGTCAGAGGGCAAGAAAGAAACAGAGACTTGAAAAAAACGTGAGAACTGGTTCAGAATGGGAGGAATTGCAAACTTTGTGTAGCTAATGCAAATGGAAGTATGTAACAGGAACTGTGAAAACAGCTCAGGTGAGGAGGCCACTGTCTTTCATATATCTTGTGCTTCTCTACATGGAACACATTTTCCATGTAAAATCTAACTCAGACATCCTGTAACACAGTATGACATGGGGCTTTCAATTGAGGCTAGCAAACCAGATGCCCTGCCCATTAAAGGCATCTCTTTGACCAGTACAGAGGCCCTTGATTTATTTCCCTGGAAGAGTCAATAAAACACTGTAGAGGTCAATAGCTAAAGTTATGCCAGGTTTCTTAATTAAGCAAAGATCTTTATTAGCTTTTGGTCTATTTTTTGCTAATTCATAGTTAAACAGTAGAAATTAAAATTACTAATTTTATTGCTTATAAATCTTACACCTAACTTAAAACACTGCTAGTTGTAGTTAGATAGAGGGAACTATTTCATTCAGCTATGACTTAAAAAAATTACAAAGTTCTTTGCACATTTTTCTCAGTTATTTCCTCTGTTATTTTTTTATGCAATACAATTCATATACAAAGATACAATGCTACAGTATATATACTAGCTTAATCTGACCATCACTTGGCATTTCAGAAGAGATCAACACTATTGGAATGATCATGTGAAAAAAAAGTTGTTGATGCCTAGTATGTAATATTTGCCTTAAAACAACCAGTGAAACTGTGCTACAAAAGATTTTTCATGGATCTTCTCCATCTCATTACAAATTAGACTCTGTTATGTTATAGTTTTATTTTTATAAAACTAATCACATATTTGACATTATTGACTTTAATATTTCCATTGTGAAAACTGCCCACAAAAGATGTAGTGAATTCATCTTAAATGTGGTATATCTCTCTGTGCCAATAACCTGAATCCAATTATATCAAAGCATCTGCTCCATATGGCATATCTCCAAGGAGTTCTGATTCCTCTAAAATGGGGCATGATATTTAAAAGCCAAGAACAGAAGTTAGGTGTGCACATTGTAACTATGGTGTCAGTGCTCCACCTTAGTTTAGAGCTAAAAATAAATTATATTCTCAAATTTTATGACTCCATAATGGTAAATACAACAAACAATTTATTTAAAAAATACAATATGGCAAAGTGAGATTTACTCCAGAAATTAAAAAATACTCCAGTATTAGGAGTTCCAAAAATTTAACTCACCATAGTATTAGATATAAAAGTAAAAAGTACATGATTTCTCCAGAGACACTGAAAAAATTTTGACCAAATTCAATAGCTTTCCCTAATTTTTTAAGTACTCAATAAACTAAAAGGTTCTGGCTACTTCTTTAACATGCTATACCTACTTCAGATCTAAAGTTGGCATGAAAGTTAAACATACCACAGGTATTTCCACTGAGGTTAGGAACAAGGTGAAATGCCAATTGTTTCCATTATTTAAAATTGAGAAAATAATTATTGTTGTAGGATATTAGAAATAAACTATCTCTACTTGCAAGTAATATAATAATATACACAAAAATCCTGGAGATTCTAACAAAACCCAAAAAGTAAAACAACTCATGAGACTTCTGATTTCAGCTCTAGCTTAGAAGTTGTCCTCACTATAATAAAAAGGCTTAACAATTTGAAAATGAATGACTTTTCTTAGACCCATCAGAAAATTGAGGTCATAGGACAACCTTCATCCCAAATTCTGAAGAGAAAGGTAAATAATGTGGAGAAAAACACAACTGAGGTAAGCTTACCTGGACCAGAAGCTGCAGGAGCCATAAACTTGTAGGAACATTTAAGCTGTTATTTTCATGAATTGTTGAAGGCTGAGTACAGACTAGCATGGAAATGAGAAATTCCTGGGAATCAGAACCTTAGGGAGACCCTCATACACTTTTCTGGGCTTTCCCTCCAGAAATCCCAACTGGTTCTTACAGTAAAGATTTATGGGGAAAAAATCCAACAAACTCAGGTCTCTAAGCAGGAGATAGGGAACAAAAATATTTTGAAATATTCCTAATCTATATTACATATGTCTCCTTTCCAGGGGAAAAAACTACCAGATATAACTTGGGAAGAGGGCATTTTCCCAACTCTAGGCCCATCTAGTCTTCCTGTTTCACCTGGGGGGTGGGTGGGACTAAGAAAAAAATTTGTGATGCTCATATCCCAGGCACAAGCCCACTACAAGACTTGCATTTAATCACATGATTACAGAACACTTCCCCTCCCTGATGCCTTATTATCACATTAAAACAAGTCTCCAGTATAATAGCAGTGGGTTATAGCTATAAAGAACTTCAAAGAGCAGACTCTATTAAAGAAGGAGTTGGGAAGCTCAGAGACAATAGAGGTGACAAAAACAAGGACNGCCTCTGCTTTGCTCTCCTAAAAAAAAAAAAAAAACAAGGACAACAGAGGAAACCGAAGCATCTGGCACCAATGCTACTTCAAACAACAAATACAGCCCAACTTCTAGTCATATTTAAATAAAACACTAAAGGATTATTTAGCTCAGTTTCTAATGCCTATATGTCATGTCCAACTTTCAACAAAAAGTTGCAAGGCAAACCAAAAAGCCTGAAAAGACAAAGTAAGTATCACATCACAACTGGACTCACATATGACACAGATTTGGAATTATCAGACTGGGTATTTTTTTTTTAAATGACTATTTGTGGATAAAATGAAGGTTCCTATGGTCAGGATTCTCACCTGGCCCTGGTCAGCTAGCTTACTACACAAGTGTGGGCATATGTGGTTATTGACTCTCTATAAAGAGCTCCACCCAGTGCTCTGGGCTGCTGCATGGCTACAGGGCTGCAGGAGAGCAGAGGCTGGAGTGGTGGCAGACCCAAGGACAGAGACTGAGATGGCTGCAGGGGCAGAGACAGAGGCAGAGACTGGCTTGCTACATGCAGACTTGCCCTGAGTGGACGGGATTCTAGTTATTGACCTGCCACCGTGGGAATAAAGTTGGGTATAAACCTTTTCACCCTACGAATGTTCCATTGTCATTTTTTTCAGTCTCATTTTTTCCATAGTGAACTTGTCCAGGGCTAAAACCCATTGGCAAAATACTATTCTCATCTAAAAAGTAGACAAATGTAAGTAACATTAGCAGATGTTGAGTCCAACTTTCCACAGAGTAACTGATGAGTAACATTAGCAGAGAGATGAAACTTAAGAATGAACCAAGAAGAAATGCAAGAATTCAAAAGCACTGTAATAAAAATGAAGAGTGTTTTTGGTGGGATCAGCAGCATATGAGATACAGCTGAAGAATCCAGTGAGATTGAAATTAAATCAATAGAAATTTCCCAAACTGAAATACAAAGTGGGGAAAATTGAAGTTCCTATGGCCAGGATCCTCACCTGAACCAAAATTACTTTATGACCTAACTGGCCTACTGCTAGGATACTGCTTACATACCTGTTAGCAATGAGCTATTATTGATTGAGTTACCTATATAAAGAGCTCTGCCCAGTGCTCTGAGTGGAGGCAGAGATGAAGGAGGATTACAAACCTACAGACTGTTGAATACAGAGGTAATTCTGGTGCTCAACCTATCCCTGGGAGAACAAGCAGGGTAATAAACCCTTTTACCCCATGAACATTGCTTTGTCATTCTTTGTTCTCATTGAATCATAATGAACTTGCCCAGGGCTAAAACCCATTGTCATGACACAAAGAAAGAAAAGAATGGGGAAAAATGACCCCACAGAACATCCAATAACTGCAGGAAAGGCAATTAAAAAAATCTTGAAGAAGCCAGAGAAGTGAACCACTTTACTTAGAGTAAAAAGTGTAAGGATTATAGTCACATAAGTCAGAAGAGTGAAGTGAAATATTTAAAGTATTAAAAAAAAACCACCAATGTAGGTTTCTATTTGCAAAATTATCCTTCAAAAGTGAATAAGAAAGAAAAGTTTCTCAGTCAAACAAAACTGAGGGATTTCATTACCAGCAGATCCGCTCTTCCAGAAATGTTAAAAGGTCTTCATAGAGAAGAGAAATTATATGTGTCAGAAACTAGGATCTAAAGAAAGAACATCAGGAAAGAACTAAATGGAGGTAAAATAAAATCATTTATTTTTCTTATTCTTAAATTATCTGATGTATAACTGTTCAAAATAATACAGTTACAATATATTGGATGGCAATAGCATATGGGTAAATTGAATCACAGCTATGTTATAAAAGATTAAAGGGAGCAATGTACATAGGTACATCCATGTTGTCACAAATGACAAGATTTCATTCTTTTTTATGACTGAGTAATATTCGATTGTGATATGTACCATATCTTTATCCATTCATTATATCAATGGGCATTAGGTTGCTTCCATATATTGGCTATTGTAAATAATTCTGTGATAGAAATAGGGGTACCTATATTTTTCCTACTTAGTGTTTTTGTTTTCTTCAGGTAAATACCCTGAAGTAGATTGCTGGGTTGTATGGTATTTCTATATTTAGTTTTATGAGGACTCTCCATACTGGCTGTACTAATTTACCTTCCCACCAACATTGTATGAGGGCTTCCCATTCTCTCCAACCTTTGTTATTTCTTATGTTTTTGATACAAGCCTTTCAGATTAGTGTGAGATAACATCTATTGTGGATTTGATTTGCATTTTCCTGCTGATTAGTGAGGCAGAGCATCTTTTCATGTGTCTGTTCACCATTTCCATGTCTTCTTTGGAAAAGTGTCTATTCAAAGCAATTTTGAGAAAGAAGAATAAAGCCAGAGGTATCATTCTCCCTGATCTCAAACTATACCACAAAGCTGTAGATATCAAAACAGTATGGTACCGGCACAAGAACAGACACATAGGAAAATGGAACAGAATAGAGAGCCCAGAAATAAACCCAAGTTTTAATGGTTAATTAACCTATGACAAAGAAGGCAAAAATATAAAATGGTGAGAAGACAGTCTCTTCAATAAGTGGTGTTTGGAAAACTGGACAGCCACGTGCAAAAGAATGAAATTGGAACACTTTCTTACACCATACACAAAATAAACTTGAAATGATGTAAATGTAAAACTTGAAACCATAAAGCTCATAAATGAAAATAGAGCCAGCAAACTCTTAGACATCAGCATTAGCAATTTTTTTATGGATATGTCTCCCCAGACAAGGGAAACCAAAGCAAAAATTAAACATGGGAGTATATCAAACTAAAAAGCTTCCACACAGCAAAGGAAACCATCAAGAAATAGCAATCATTAAAAGACAGAGATGCTCATTCTTAGAGTGGAATATTATTCATAAATATAAACAAATGAGTTATCAAGCTGTGAAAGGATATGGATGAATATTAAATGCTTATAACTCAGTGAAAGAATCCAATCTGAAAAGGCTACATACTGTATAATTCCAGTTGTATGTCACTCTGAAAAAAGCAAAACTATAGAAACAATAAAAAGATTAGTGGGTGCCAGGAATTCAAGTAAGAAAAAGAAGGGCTAAGTAAGTAATGCACAGGGTGTTTTTAGGGCAGTGAATCTACTCTGTATGATACCATAATGGTGAATAAATGTTATTATATATTTGTCAAAAGCCATAGAAATTTACAGCTCAAAGAGTAAACCTTCATTGCAAATTTTATAAAATCCTCTAGTAGGTTGCAGAAACCCAGGAAGGGATGCAGACTGTGATAAGAGGATCTAAATGTATTACAAATGTTTGAAACAACCTCACTATAGAGGGATGTGGGGAGGGTTTCTTGACTTAAGAAACTTTAGAAAAGAATGTACTCCATTTGTTTAATCAAAAATCCTAAGGAATTACAAGTAAAAAATATACTCTAGTTGATAAAGTTGTTTCTTATGGGAGTTGGGTTAACAATTCTGATACTGCTGTACATGTAAACTGGAATTGAACAATGATGAGGATGGAGCCAGATTTCTCACTGTTAGGATGGGAGTTTACAGATTAACAGAGGGAGGAGGCTAAAATGATCCATATGGTAAAAGGCTAGAATTAAAGATAGTATGAATTCATTTTTAGCTAAATATAAATACAGATGGCTACATATAGAAATATTTATAGATATGAAATACACACATTGGTTATCATACACACATATATTTCCTTGCTATGTCAGCTGAGAGGTCCTAAATGAAGCCATATCCCAGAAGCAACCAGCATACCTCACACCCAGGGTAGTTTCTATTACTATTTCTCCAATAAAGATACCAGGGTTCTTGGGAGGAATGGCTGATTCTAGGAATGAGCAAGAAATATACAAAAAGAACTGGAAGCATCTTGCATCATCAAAAAGTAAGGAACTACTAAGAAACATTAAAAATTCCTGTGTCAAAGGAACACAGGAGCCAAATAAAATAGCTGGAATGATCTGAGCAGCAAAATAAAGCAGCATTGGATTGTATCCCAAAATATAAAATGAATATTCATGAGTCCATATGATAGAAATAAGTGATTGAATACATAAATAAATTGGGGAGAACATCCAAATCTCTATCTTGAAGAATTGCAAGTAAATCATTGAAAGAATTTGCCCTCAAGAAGGAGAATGTAACTTCAGCTCCTTAAGTACAAGCTACCTGTAGCAGTATAGGAAAGGGGAAAAATCAACTTTACAGTGAAGAAATCACAATCTCAGCCAGGTGATCAATGTCAACATCAACCCTGATACATAATGTTGGTAAGTATGGACACTTGAAATGATCTGATGAAAATGGCATTTTATCTCTGTGTCCTTCCACCCAAAAACACATAGACCCAGTCTAATCATGAGAAAAACATTAAAAAAAAAAATCCAACGAAAGGGCATCCTACAAAATACCAGTTCAGTAATCCTCAAAACA